ATTTATTCATGAATATCAATTTTATCTTCTTCAAAATAATCACTTATGCCAGCGTTTTTTCAAATCCTAAGTGCTTTAAAAAGTAATTTTTTGCGATCTAGTTTAGCTCCTCCTTCGATGCAGTTTTTATCTCCTCGATCGTAGCGTCGTCCTTTTCGGCTCCTCTTCAGTTTTGGAAACACAAAAGTCACAGCGGGCCAGGTCTGCGCAATACGGTGTCTGCGGCACCATTAACTACATTTTGGTCACGAATTTTGAAGTTTCGCGGGCTATGTGTAACCTATCTTCACCGATATCTACTTACCTATAGTCGAGTTTTCACAAAGTATAGAACTTAACATATGTCTTTTCTATTAATTTCTAAATTTTAGAGGCTAGAAGGTAAGACATAAACCCAGACAAATACAGTGTGAAACGTTAAAGAAGTTTTGATTATTAAATTACTAGTATAATTCTCAAACTTTTCACTATTTGAAGGCAACGATAAATCAAAACTATGTATATGTAAACCTTATAAAACTGTAACAAGCCCAGATTTAGTTTTTACTTGGACTGGAAATCATGCTGCTTTGTTTCTTTCTCATCTCAATAGCCGTTCTCCAACATATGATATTAGAGATATGGACTAGTTCAGTGTATGCAGTTTCAAATATCGCAGATATAAAAAAATTGTAACGAATGTATACATGTATGTATATACATACATGTGTCTAACATAACATTTAGCCGATTAATGCTATGACGAAAAATTTAATACATTTATTTTTGGCGTTACTTTGAAGGGATTATCAGGAGGAAGCATTGGCGAGAATTGCACAGCTAGGTGGACGCTGCATCTAATTTTGGGATTGCATGTTTGCAATTCCACTTTTCGCAAGTTTAAATCTAAAAATAAAAACGCAGGGAATAAAACTTATTTTTGTGCCTATACTGTGCGTGCGCTTCGAAAAGCAGGAAAAATGTGCGCTAGTTATTGAGTTAAAAAAAAAGCAAGAACACTCGAAGAAAGTCTTATATTCTTTAATGTATTCTTAGGTTATATCGCTCGATATGATATGACAGCATTCTGTTAATTTTTAGATATCTCTATAAGAAATATAAGAATATTTGGAATCACTTTAAATATAAAAGTAATTTTGGCAAAACTTTAAAAGATATTCGATATATATTTTTATACTCTCGCAACCTGTTGCTACAGAGTATAATAGTTTTGTTCACCTAACGGTTGTTTGTATCACCTAAAACTAATCGAGTTAGATATAGGGTTATATATATATAAATGATCAGGATGAAGAGACGAGTTGAAATCCGGGTGACTGTCTGTCCGTCCGTCCGTCTGTCCGTCCGTCCGTCCGTGCAAGCTCTAACTTGAGTAAAAATTGAGATATCTTTATGAAACTTGGTAGACATGTTTCTTGGTACCGTGAGACGGTTGGTATTGCAGATGGGCGTAATCGGACCACTGCCACGCCCACAAAACGCCATTAATCAAAAACAAATAACTTGCCATAACTAAGCTCCGCAATAAGATACAAGACTGTTATTTGGTACACAGGATCACATTAGGGAGGGGCATCTGCAGTTAAAACTTTTTTTTAAAAGTGGGCGTGGTCCCGCCTCTAATAGGTTTAATGTGCATATCTCCTAAACCGCTAATGCTATAATAACAAAATTCACTGGAAGCAAATGTTTTTAGCACTTCTATTGACGGTGTGAAAATAGTTGAAATCGGGTGGCAACTCCGCCCACTCCCCATATAACGGTACTGTTAAAAACTACTAAAAGCGCGATAAATCAAGCACTAAACACGCCAGAGACATTAAATTTTATCTCTAAGATGGTATAAGATGACTTTATAGGAACCGCGTTCAAAATTAGACAGTGGGCGTGGCACAGCCCACTTTTAGGTGAAAACCCATATCTTGAGATCTGCTTAACCGATTTCAACCAAATTCGGTGCGTAACGTTCTTTTCATGTTTCTATGTCATAGTGCGAAAATGGGCGAAATCAGACTACAACCACGCCTACTTCCCATGAAACACCATTTTCAATTCCATCTGATTCTTTCACTTTCCACTATGCATATCAAGCAACAATGATTATATCGGGGTAAAACTTTGCGTGAATAATACGTTTAAAGTATGCCACCTTGTGACCAAAAATTGTCTAAATCGAACCAAAACTGTTCAAGCCCCTAAGTACTAAATATGTGGACCCCAGTGCCTATAGTTGACCTTCTACCGAAAATATCAGTCAATCCACAAAGAAATCTCAAACGAGTATACCATTTGACTTTGCGAGAGTATAAAATGTTCGGTTACATCCGAACTTAGCCCTTCCTTACTTGTTAATGTTAGTTTTTATTCAAAGGAAGTAATGAAGCAACATGTATTTATCGCTCGGTATTTTCCGTGGAATTATAGGTTGAAACAACAGGCTTTTAATCGCTATATACTTTCCAGGATTGCTCACACAGCCTAAAAATTTAGCTACACCGTTCTGTGGACACAGTAATAAAGCGGCAAAAGAAATCCGTACACCAACGAATAGGCTTTATAGGCTTTGAGTCGACGCGATAAATGTGAAAATGTTTAAATTTCGTTATTATATGTATATTGAATTTTCTATTGCCATTGCAGTTTGTATTCTTCAAGTGTTATTCGTGAATAGAAAAAAAATTAACAGTGAAATCTGTCGAAAAAGACTGAAGCAGACACAAGTACTATTATGGTTGTGCGATTGAAGAAGTTAAGCCTCCGGGATTGAACGCTAAAATTTGCTTCATTAAATTTTTCAGCGAAGATTCTTTAAAGAAATTTGAAAATCAGAAGACTTTTAAGCGAAACTCCGGCACTGGAAGGAATAAGAAGACTAACGCCTAGGTGGACTGTGTTTTGTAGCGTCTGAGCCTGACAAATCGGTTTAGGTAAAACTGCAAAAGTTGCTAAAGAAATTTGCATTCGAACTGTACGCAGACCCCTAAAAAGCTGTACTTAATAGGCGCGGGCCCGCGAGAAAAACTGGACTTGACACTTAAAATTTGTCAAAAAAGGCTACAATGACCTTGAAATAATTGGAGATATATAATATTACAATATAAATAGCTGTTGAATGTTTTAGTAAGCTTATTTTTACTTTCTATTAAATATGTACATAAGTATACAAATTCAGACATACTGGTATATTTGTACAATTGGACCTGTGCTGCCTTCTCACACTGCGCACGGTTGCGCATTCAGCATATACATACATATATACCAAAGTATATAACATATGTTTATATTTATTATACTTAATCAGAAGCATATAGGCTGCATTCCAAAATATATACACATTCGCATATGCAGAAGGAAATTAGCACTCTTCGACTGATTAGACGCTCAAATCTAATGACTGTGGAAAGTGAGAACGTGCTATTTAGAGCTGCTATTCACACTCAAATAACAGCTGTTTTAACATTTATTATTAGTGGGTATTAAGTCATTCTATGAAAAATCTATTTATGACTTTCCACTATAGTTTCCACCTTACGAATCTTATCAATTATGAAAATAAAAATAAATATTCTTCCGTTATATGTACTTACATATGTACATACAAATGTGTATATATGATTAAATTTTACTATGTAAGTATGTCTGTAGTGCAATCGCAACAATATGCTAATGCGGTTACAATTTTTAATTAATAATGTTTAAATAAAAGTTTTAAATTGAAACATTGAATTGAATTTAATAGGCTTTATTTCCTTTTTTAAAAGGATAATTATCTCAAGTTTTGTTCGAATAGGAATAGAAATTGCAGATGTGCTGTCCCGAATGATAGACGAGGAATGTCTCTGTTTACAAAGTATAAAAGATGAGTTTCAGGTATTGAAAGTTATCCGCAAAAAATAACTTCATTTCTAAATCACTAATCATTACTAAATTATTACTTCTTTCTTTTATAAACTACTCTTAATACATATCGAAATTTCGATGTTGCAAACTTTTGTCGCATAATGTTCATAGATAACATCCAAAAACCGAACCAGTTCTTACCAAAGATAGTTTTAAATGTAACAGAAAGCATTAAACCAAATTTAGAGGCTTGTTAACGTCAGTAAGCGTAAATATGAATAAATTAAGTGTAGCTTTTGCGCAGTAGTAAAATTTGTCCTACGCTATTAACAAGCTATTTTTATTTTGTTGTAGTTTTTACATAATATCAGAATGTTATGTTGTTGTAGCGGGTTAAAATATTTTTCAGCTTCAGGCATTCTCCAATAATTAGGGTACTTTTACTTCCAAATACAATATAATATTATTACAAATCTTCGAAATTTAACTATGTTAAATACTCCGTTGTTGTAGCGGAGTCTAATTTTTCATGCTTAACAAAGTTTTAACAATAACAGTTAAATATCTTACATTGTTGGATGGTAAAGCTTACCAAAACGTTTAAAAGTTTTTGAACCATGTCTACCATGACGGATTGACCCGGATTTCATCCGACCAATGACTGTTATTTATTATTAACCTCTTTTTGGGAGGGAAGGTGTCTAAAAAATTATCTCGTTTCCGTAGTGAATCCAGTAAGCGGTACTCATGCCGATAAAAACAATTGAATTTTTACACTTAAGTTAATATCAAGTAACCGGAATGGACCCAGATTTCTATACGGTCAAGGACTGTCACTTTGGTACCATTTCTCTAAATTACTTCAGGAATGTTTTCTGTCGCTACAACAACCAGAAGGGATTATAAGATAAAACTTATGTATGTATGTAAGGTATATATATATATGAGAAATACATTTCTACAGTTGGAAATAGCAACTAACTCTTACATATTGAATGAATAGCGCTAAACGATAAGGCATTGTGAGCGAAGGCCTAGTAAATTTATCGTTTTTGGATAGATAGTGTTATCAGTTTGCGCATATATTATGTGTAATAAGATAAAAGTGGTGAAGTAAAAGTCATGGAAAGGAACACAATTCAAATAAATAAGTAATATGGCTTAAAGCCGACTGTGTTATCGACTACCAACGAAATAACAAGGGTGTAGCCTATTTTTACTCTTACATATAGTTTTAGTACTTGGCAACGAAACGCTCACTGATAAGCATATAAGATCTCCGGTTTACCAAAGAATGAAAATTTTTAAAACTGCTTTTAGATATTTACTTCGTCATCACATAAAGGATGTTTTACATTTTGTTTTTGCAAATACATATACAAGTATATGTATGTATGGAGATATGTTGGAGTGAGTTTGCTGAATCGGTACAATAAGTACTGAGATCTGAGTACGTTAATCAACGCTGAGCGAAATACAGACAACACACACTGCAAGTAAATGAATAAGAAATCAACTGTATGAAGCGTCAAAAGCAAAACAAATAATTGCTTAATACTTTTTAGATAATAAACAAGGGAGCAGAGAATGTGTGGAGAGGAGCAATGGGCACAAAAATGCTGCGCATTATAAGTGTGTGATAAGTAGGTATGAAACCAAGAATACTACATCATGTTTAAAGCTGTTTGGGGGCTTAAAGTAATGAGTTGCAATTGAGCTTCATTATTCATATATTTTAAGAATAGTAGTTACATAAATAAAGGGTTGAGTGAAGCATATTACGCGGGACATGCAATGTCGGATTTATATCCGATATAATATTATATTGTTCAATAAATTAATAATACTTAACTTAAATTGTAGTAGTTTAAACCTGATTCTTTTAATTTTCCAATATAAAAATAAACATTTAACACCAACTTTGTAATTTTCAATGTGTTTGCTGTCATATGCTATATATTCGTAAAATCTCCGGGCAGCAGTTTCGCGCCTCAACCGAAAAACATGGGGATGAATTATTTTGGTATACACGTGCTAATGACAGCTAACGGTTACAAAAACAACAATGTCTTGATTTTTTATATCTAATTAAAGTTTTAAAATATGATCCTGAATAAGTTCACTTGTCATTTTACTTTTTAATACGAAATGGAAATAATTAAGCGGTTTGCTAGAGCTATAGCAGTGTAGTATCTAAAAAATGTGTTGCCATCCGGCAGCGATCAGACGGAGCGCTTTTAGACACAACAAAAACAAATCGCTTACTCACCTGACTGTTGTGATATATATGTAGGTATATACGTTTGCAATTTGGACTTATAGCCCTAATGGCACTCCAGCAATCTGTGTTGGCGCAAAATGCGCTGTTTACACAAAACACGACTTCCAAATGTTCCGTTTCCCCTACTAGATCACCTGCAATTGTATGAGATGACCAACGAAACGAAGTACGATGATTTATTAACGTTATTCCTCAGTCACTATTATTGTTACTGCGTGATTCACTATTATAAATATCCAAATTAATCGTACAATACGAACTACACGATATCCAAACAAATTGATTCCGATTTCAATATGTACTAGCCGCTATCGGACTTGTGTTTTTGCCGTTTATAGCGTTTTGTCTAGCAATTCTCGACCGGGAAAATTAATCACAAGGCTTTTGTTGTGAAAAGACTTTTTATTCATCAACTTCTGAACCTTTGAGTTATCTTTATATTTATCCTTTTCACAAAAATTTTATAATTTATTTGTTTTTCCTGTAAAAACTTATCCAAACACAAAATAGCACAACAAAAAACTGTTTCAGCTCGTTTCGCATTGATTCTCCACATGAAAATAAAAATGCTCAGTACCGAAAAGTGTTGCCATAGTTTTGTTATGAAGTGACTACTGATTGTTTTGATACGATGTAGAGGGAAATTGACTGAGCGAAGAAAATTGTAGCATACTGATATTATGCTTCCTCGTTGTTTTTAAATTGTGTTAATAGGGTATCATGAATAAAATTAGGTATGCAATATATATATTTCGAGCACTTATTTAGCCTAATTTGCATATATATTATACCAGATATTTTGTGTGAAAATTACAACACTCGTAGAATGACATTTGGAATTGAGTTTAAATAAACAAAACAGGGTGCACTAGTGAATTTAAATATAATCGAACACACCTTGTTATGTGAATTACTTAGCACAGGGCGCACAGAAAAAAATGGTTATTAATGTTTTGGTTAAATTTAGTTAGTTTGAAAGAACTCTTAGTTATTGGTATTTACCAGATGTTGTTGTAAAAATTCGTATAACTTTTATGCTTGTGGGTACATTTATTTTAATTACGTACATTAGCGTTATTGTTAATGGTTTTATAGGACACAATTTCACAAATAATTCTTCCACAAAACAGAAATTAACCGGAAATTAGTAAGGAAAGCGATTTATGAAGCAAAAAAATTTGAAAAGACATATTTAGTATCGGGTGCAACCCAAATAATTACGCACATTCATTTTTACGAACTAAGAAGGAAACCCCATAATTGCCACAATGGGACATGGTTGAATAAATCCTCGGTTTTACGGCCATCACCAATTATGGAATTGGAGGGTCAAAGAAATAAACGAAAAAGTCTTCCTAACTAACAGAAGAAAATAGGAGAGAGGATATACTAATAGAGTGTGAGGCCGATGTAAGACACACCATATGGAAAAGCACCAACACAAACACCAGGGAAGAGTCACCATTGCAAAATATTTGAGATACTAATCTAACTATATGTAATAGGGGCGATAAGCCCACTTTCATTTTTTCAAGTTCGGAAGTTTTTCGGGTTAAGAGGAAGTCTTAGATCTGACGCTATCAACAAAAACAGATAGCCTGGATTCTCTTCAGCATTCGCGAGAAATCCAATACTCTCCTCCAATATCGATTTATATACCAGCAACAAAAACCTTAGAAACAAGTAGGTTTAAGAATAAAATGAATAATTATGAAGAACTAGATGCAGAGGTGGAAAGTTAAAAAAGAGTAAGTCGCCTCCTTAGTGGAACGGTGACCTAAAAACCCTAAGAACCCAATTGAGAAAAGCCTGAGAGAATAAGAGTTATACGACCAAAATCTGTCAACCGTATAAAGATACCTTAAATGTTTATAAAAAAGCAGTCAAGAAAGCAAAGACAGACTCTTGGCAATCTTTCCGCATATCGATTAGGTACTGTCTAAACAGCACATCAATATAGCTTATTTAAAGACGAAGGGTGGGATTGGACTTCCTCTGCTGGGGAATATTTTGAGGAACTCCTACAAACAAATTTTCCTGGTAGTCAGCAAACCGCTGTGGGGATACAATGTGACATACGTGCAGATACGGCAGACCGATCCGACCACATGAGTACGAAGAAAATTATATACAATAGCTTCATTCCAATTTAAAGCGGCGGGTCCGGACGCTATTATTTCCATAATGAAGCAGCAGCTGAAAGAACCTATAATATATGCAAAGTTGGTATTCAACTATCTTATGTACATCCTAAGAAGTTGGAAAAGAGACAAAGTGGTGTTCCCCCCTAAACCATGCAGAAGAACACATGATAACGCAAATATTCTAGACCTATAAGCCTGACATCAGCAGCAAGTTCTGCTTTCAGGGTAAACGAATTAGGAGGCTGGATCCGGAAAGAATATGGACATAGCGTCATCCTGAACCAGCTTAATCTAATTAAATCAAACTATATCCTGCCATTTAAATATTGTAGTCACTTTCGGGTGAGGATACCCTCTAGACGGGAATGGAGAAGAGGAGTAGGGGCAAGAGTATACTCTGATTATCGTGACATCTATCTTTCCATCCTTAAACTTAGCCAGCATCTTCTAAGCGGAAGTACTAGGTATAGAAAAGGAATGTGGAGCTCTTTTGAATAACTACGGGAGGATACGAAAAGCCATATACACGGATAACCAGGCGGCACTGCTGGCCTTGTCGACATCAAGAATTAATTCCACTGTAGTAAACAATTGCAGGAAGGCTTTAAGCTCACTGGCAGGTCAACTGGACCTATCCATAATTTAGTTTTCCGGTCATAGGAACATTTACGGTAACGAAAACCCGGAGCGAAGTTAATACCATGTCAATCAATAACAAGCTTCAAGATAACAAAGCAGATTTGTCCCAAGTATGACAAGAGTAGAACCAAGGACTTATTAAATACAAGAAATAGTATATACAGACTTATATCCATTATAACCAGGTACTGGCCATTTGGAGAGCATGCGCTAAAAATGGGCCTGCCGTACAATAATATTTGCCGCCTCTGCAAGCTAGAAGGGAATAAGGAAACGGTTTTCCACTATGTCTGTGTATGCCCAGCTCTATAACAGACACTACACAAAACACTTGAAACCCATCAGGCACCCAAAATTGAATGGTTGCCCACAAAAAGAATAACAGACATACGTTGTTTCATTGAGAGCAAATAGTTTGAGCGAAATGATGGAAAGGAATAGCAAGATTATAAGGTTCTACGATATTGCATAAAAATGGCGCATTCAGCGCTAATTGAGCCCATGTGGGCAACACTCCTACTTATCAACCTATCACTGTTTGATCTGTCTCTATCTTTGAGGGTAATCTCAACATTATGCTCCCTAAACAAAATTCTCAATGTAATTTTATACAGTTTTTTGTAATACTCTTGAAGTAATGATTTTATTTGCAATTTGTTTACAATTATCTATGTTATTATGTATATAAAAGTTTTTAAGTGGTGATTAATGCGGTAATAAAAGTATAATATACATATATTTATACAAATGTCTGACTGATATTTGTCCAAAGTGAATACATGAAAATTTGCTAATTTCTTAAACTATTGCATTTTCTATAAACGCAAACGTCGACGGTTCCACCCATATTTGTCGCTTACTTCCGATTTTTCAGCTGAATCTTCTCGAATGGATGCGCTTCAATGTAAGCCAGCGCTCTTAGAATGTAATCTGGAATTGGTGGTGGCGTTGGCAAATGATCACCTTTGGGTTGATAACCGTTTTCATCGGCTGTGTAAGTCAATTGTATGGGCTGTCCCTCGGGTGAGGTGTACGAGTATGAGCCCGCGGCATAAGAGCTGCCAACACCGCTCTTTTGAGCCTGAATCCTATTCGACGTTTCGTACGCGTAATTATAGCTGCCGTCGGCGTTCACTTCATTCTCATATTTCAGGATGGTGGCATGAGTATCAGCAGGATCACCAGCAGCGTAGGCGAAAGCGAAAAGTGTTGTGGCGACGAGAAGCTGTGCAACAGAAAAGGGAAAGTGGATATAGAGGTGATCTGGAGGTGTTTCTGTTTGTGTTTGAGAATTTATCAAATTTTGTGTAAGTATGTAGCTGTGCTGTCCTGCGGTGTGAATGTTATTTGTTACTGATTTGCTGTGAGCTTCTAAACACTTTTATATATTTTAGAAGTGTAGACCCCTGGTGTGTGCTTCAAGCACAACTAGATTTCTGCGAGCGCTGCACCCAGTAATGCTCGCCAGCGATATGTGCGTGAGTATGTGTGTACTACCATACCATCATCAGAAATATGAAATATTGCCGATCATATGCAAATAATCGATCCGAGTATGAAGATTATACCGATTATTATCAATTTCCAAACACAATCGTTGTATGTGCAGTAAACAAGTTTATTTAACGCACTTATCAGTTGGCAATTTTAATTTGATCGCGTTTGGTGAACTTTCGTTTGCTTGTTGTATTTGTTTTTGCACTGCTATAGCACGGGTCATTAGTTGAAAAATTGTAAAAAAGTAATTTTCAATCAATCGATACGGACATAAACAAGCAAATGCCAGATTACTTAAATTTATTAATCGGATTTAACTACACAGGGTTCCATTGAGAGCAACCGTATAATGAGCTTTTATGAAAATAATGAGTGTCATTATTAATATAATCTGCTCCATCATATTCGAGCTATGCATATGCACACATGTGGTACATTCATCTGAATATACTTATAGAAATATGTAGTTCGCGTGTATTGCCATAAAAGTGTTACGCGTAAATTATGTTGAAAATGTGCAGCTGATATGCATCGTCTTTAAACTTTAGTGTTAGTTGTATTTGCATATCGGTTATCATATTTTGAACATCAATTTTGCATATGCTAGCCGAACATGTCACTAAACCCTTGAAATAACTGAGTAGCTATTCAAAAAAAACGTGAAGATCCGATATTGTGTGCGAATGAAAAATATAGCAAAACTGTTGACTGTTGCTACAATAACCGAGCATGTGTTTTTTAAGATTACATACACGCATATATGAATACATCATCGCTCATCAGTTACCATCATTATTTATGTATAGAAGAGGAATCAAAGATTTCAATGCGCCTAAAAGTATGCAATGAAACATTTTTCATTATGCCTTAACACCGCATCTCCACAGGCAATATACATTGCTAACCATCGGTCAAATACATTACCATTGAGGTTAGCAATGTTCTTGTATGGGCATTTGCTATCATGAAATAATCATTCTCGAAATGGCCTCACTTTATGTTCGAACTAATGTAGCGAATGTTTGAGCTCTTGAACAGTTTAAACATTTTATGAGGATGACAAAAATTTATGTGGAGAAGTAAGATAAAACATATAAATCTACTTCTTCGACAATATATATTTTTGGAAAAATAAGATTTCATATTTAAGACTTAAATAATTAAATATGAGCAATGATATTTACATATACTAACAGTTATGATTAAAATATTAACCATACATTAACATACATATGTATGTATGTATTTAATTAATAATTTCCATGATTTGTTAAAAGAAAACATAAAACACCGATCATTAGCATTTCACCTTTACAGCTCTGTTAAACCACCAAAATGACAATCCATTGCTAGAAATGTATGGCAATGAAATGTATTTACACATCAATTGCTTAACATTAGCAATGTGTAGTCTCCATTGGCAATATTCCTAGCAATACAGATTTTTGGCAGTCTTTAATTGCCTGCCGAGATACCTCGTAAAGGTAGATTAGTTGATGTTTGGTTTCCACTGCGGGCGATAATCCATTGTGCTTTTCTCTCGCAGTGATCTGCATACACCGGTCATCTCCATGTAGGGTGTTTTTTTTCGAGGTATAGAACTTTAAGTTGGCATTACTGATCTAGATAGCGACCGATTTAACAGCTGTCAATTGATT